ATGCGAGGGGGGTGGAGCGGAGGGATACATGGGGTGCAGAGTGGCGTGCGACGGCTGGCAGCTCGCGTGCTGGCGTTTGGATGATGGTAAATTTGGGCCACGCCATTGCAATGAGCGTGGGCCGGCAGAGCGCTGCCCCATTGTCCCCTCGCACCGCTCCAAATGCAGGGGATGCGCCGCCAAAGGTGTCTGATGACAATCGGTCGCTGATTGCGGGTGAGAACATCCTGCGTGCATCAGAGCACCCAAGGATGGGCAGCGATGTGCGGGCGTGAGCATGAGGCGGGCTGAGGTGGCCAGCAGATATGGGCCTTGATACTGCAGCGTGCAATTGCTCCTCAGCTAGGATGTCATGTGCTCGAGGCTGCCTGCCGATCGCTGTGTCAAGATCCGCTGCGGATGCTCATGACTTTGAACAGTTGCTGTGGCGACGACCAAACTTGCCGCCCGTCCAGTGCACCCCCGCGGCGGACGAGCTGCGGTTCCCTGCGCCAGCCCTGCTCATCAGCGGCACCTTGGCTGTCGTGCGGCCCTTTTTCCGGCGTGCCAGCAGAGTCTTTGGATCGGGTTCGGGCGTGCGAGGCTGCGAACTGCACCGAAGCTGAGCATAATTTGCTTGTTGAAGTACGTATTGACGATCTGACGTGGTCAGTGAGGACTATATATTGTTTGTCAGGGAGACGAAATGGACATGAGGACAACTGTAGGATATGCTGCGCAGGAGTTGAAGATCAATTGGGATCCAAGACATCGACATCGAGACCTGAATGCGGCACAGCGCGAATGGGGCTGCGTGCAGCACTGCTACCGTATGTGTGAAGAAAAGCACAGCGACTGCGAGAGTCACTTGTGCCGGCCACAGTGTGCGGTGGAGTTCACAACACAGCCGGGCGTGGGGCCAGCTACGATACCGGCGGCAACTTGCAGCTGACCTGCATGGTTTGCCTTCATTGTCGTGACTGGGTGCTGAAGGTGATTGGACTCGTCAAGCCGCTCAGGTCTCGCAAGCGGGTCGTCACGCTCGCCAAGCAATCCCGTCATGCCTCGCTGCAGCACTCTCCATGTTTACAAGGACAAGGCGCGCGTCAGGCCGCCCCGTTCCCCTCGTGCTGCAGCATCTCGTCTGCGCCAGCGCCATCCTCGGCACCGCCAGCCTCGTCCCCGCCCTCGCCCCGCTGACCGCCAGCAACAGCCTCCAGATCACCGTCTGGGTTCTCCTGCGCGTCAGCCCCCACCCCTATGCCCCCGCCCACTCGCCGCCGCTTCGCAGAGGGCTCGCCGCCGCCAGCGCCGCCCTCCTCGTCCTCATCGCCGCGACCCCGTTCCTGCAGTTGCTGTTCCTGCTGCTCCTGCTGCTGCTCCTGCTGCTGCTGCTGATCTTCCGCCTGCTGCTGCTGTTGCTGCTGCGGCGGCCGCGGCCCCTGCCCCCGCCTCTGCTGCCCCTGCTTCCAGCCGCCCTGTTGCTGGTGCTGCTGCTGCGGCAGCGGCACAAACGCGACCTGCCCGCCCTTTGTCTCCTGCACCGCCAGGCCCTGTGCCTGGATCTGCTTGACCAGCTGCTTGCCAAAACCGCCACGGGCCGTGTCATAGTCGGTCCTGAACTCGTCGCGCACCTGTTTGGGGGCAGGAAATGGGCAGTGACAGGAGCCGTTGGGTGAGGTTGGTGAGAAGGGAATTGTGCAGGTGCGCAGGAGCCCAGCGCAATCCTTCCACAGCAAGGCCTGCAGGGAAAGCGACCGGAGCGGAGCTGCGCGCGCCGCCACCCGTCCAAAGAGCAGCCTGTGAACGGCCATCCACGCGTGACGCGCCCCTCCGTCCTGACCCCACGTAGCCCGCCCTCAAACGCGCCTGGCCGCCCGAGCGCCCTCGCCCGAACTGGCGCCCGTCTTCGAAGCCGTAGTCGATGTCGACGCGTATGGGGCGCTCGTCGAGGGACGTTCCGCTGAGGTAGCGCACCGCAGCCAGGGCGTCCTTTGGCAATCGGGCAGAAGCAACCGGGAGGAGTGGGTTGCGGAGCGCGACTTGGCGGCCCGCCATGCCCCAGCGTGCGGCGTTCCGCACTAGCAGCGGCGTGAATGGCCCTCTGCACAATGGGGCCGACAACTGCAGCCGCCCGCTGCGCCACGCCTGCAACGCACCTCGCGGCGGTCGTAAATGACGAAGCAGAAGCCGCACGGCGTCTTGCGCTGTGAGTCCAGCCCCATGATGACTCGCTGCACGTGGCCCACGCGCGAGAACAGGGCGTACACCTGCCACACGTGGTTTGTGAGGCATGGCGGACGGGAGGCAGGGGAGTGGGACAGATGGCAGGTCACAGCTGCGAGGGCAGCTGCTGGAAAGCTGCCTGGTGCGCGGCTGCATGGCTGCTTGTACTAAATGCAGGGACATCATCACCACTGCTGCTGCTGCTGCTGCTGCTACTGCTGCTGCCGCTGCTGCCGCTGCTGCTTCTGCTGCGGCCGCTGCTGCCGCTGCCGTTGCTGCTGCTGTTGCTGCTGCTGCTGCTGCTGCCGCTGCCGCTGCTACTGCTGCTGCTGCGGCTGCCGCTGCTGCTGCTCCTGTGCCTCCTGCCACAGCTGCTGCTGATGCTGTCGCAGCAGCCAGTGCTGCTCCCCTGCTTCTACAACTAGCGTTGCCACTGGTGTCACCGCCGCCGGCCTCGTTGTGCAGTTGCTGCTGTTATCGAGATAGCACCGCAGCCACTCGTGCAAGCGCTGCCGCCCACCTGATCCTCTGTTGTGTAGAAAGAAAGGTTCCCAATGTACAGGGTGGCGCTGGCGGCCAGGCGGGCGAAATATTCTTCCTGCAAATACAAAGGCGAGCGTGAAATGATAGCTTCGGCAAGGCCTCGCGTGGGGGGGGGGTGGGGGCTTCCACCGGCGCGCAGCAGGTGAGCGCGCGAGCATGTGGCTGATTTGCCGCCCACCCAGGGCAGTGACGGGGGCTGACATAGCATGTGACTGTGGCGGTGTACTGTGCTGCGCATCGCCGCCCACTCAGTTGTATTCTCTGCAAAGAAGTCCTGCTTGCCTACCTTTGTGCCTTTGAAGCGCCGATCCACATAATCCGTCGACGGCGGATCCAGCATCTGGAGGCGCCAAGCGCATGGACGCCAACAGGGAACCAGCAGCATAAGCGGCGCAGTATGCGTGCGAGCGGTGCATGCGGTTCCGCTGCCGTGAGCTCGCGCTGCCGCCTCCACGAAGGTCCTGGTTGACTTACCTCTAATATTTTTGCAGGCATAATGGCAGCTGGATTTCGGGTACAGGTGTGGCCAGAGTCTGAGTGAACAAAGTGTCAGCCTGAAACCTGGCGAACGCCTGAGCTAGTATATGGCGTGTAGTACTTTGCTGATTTAATATGCACCAGAGCAAACAGGCTGCCGCAAACAACGATCTGTGCGCAGAGATCTGATGATCGCGAGTCAGAGGAGTATGGCATATGGTTCAATGGATGTTTTGCAACCAACTCGTAGTGCCGGTACCCGCTGAGTCGTCTGTCCCTTGCTATCGGCCCGATTCGGGCAGCAGCGCTCTGGATGGCGGCAGCAGTCGAGGCGGCCAGTGACTGTGAGGTCTGCGAGCCTGCCTTCCTTGCCTGGTGCACGGCCCACGGCCTCGAGACACACAATATCAAGCCCGCCTATGTGGCAGAGGGCTGGCGCGGCGTTGTGGCGACACAGCGGATTGCCTTTGGGGACGTCCTAGTGGCCGCCCCGGAGCCGCTGCTGATGACGGGGCGCAGCGCGCGGCGGGACGCGGCTCTCGGCGCGCTGTTGCGCCAGCAGGAGTATGTGCGGATCAGCGACCATCAGGTGCGACTGGGAGGCTGTGCCGTGCCGTTCCGCGAAGTGTGCGGAGAAGCCTTGTTACACACTTCGAAAAGCTGCAAGATTGTGTGCTGTACAGGCCTGTCGCTCTTGAGCAGGCAGCTGAATTTGCCAGTGCCATGTCCTTGATGCAGCAGTGCAAACCTGAAGCGCAGTACCAAAAACCGGGCATGCAGCCCCAGGCGGCCACGGTCTGCGGGCACAAGAAGTCACCTGTGGTCCCATGTTTGACTATGTTTGACCGACTGCTCCACCATGCGGCGCAGGTCCTGGCTGTTCACCTGCTCCACGAGGCTTCCAAGGGCCCCGCCAGCTTCTGGCACCTGTACATCCGGCAGCTGCCCCGCAGCTACACGACCCTCTGCTGCTTCCCAGAGGAGGCTGCGTGCGCGCTGCAGGCGCCGCACGCGGTGCGGGCCGCCTCGGATGCGCTCGACACGGCAAAGGCGGAGTGGCGGGGCGCATGGCCTCTCCTCAGGGACCTAGGTGGGCTGCTGGAGTGCTGACGCCCATTTTTCCCACAGCCCGGCATCTCCATGCTCGCGCATGTGTCGGCGTTTGCTCCTTGGTCGCGCTGTGCTGCTGGAAGGTGTGAGCTTGCACTAACCCCCCCCCTTCCCTGCCCACGCCCCTGATCACAGGTCTCCCGAGAAAGTGGTCTTGCTGGGCGGCGTGGCAGTGGGCGGCGTCCACCGTGCTCTCCCGCACCATGTGAGTGCGGGCACGCCGCAAAACGCGACCCTGCCACGTAGCCGTGTCCATGTGCATACGATCGCCATGCTTTCTGATTGCTAATCTTCGACTTTTTTTCCAAGAGCCCGAGGGGTGGCGCTTTGGCGTCATGTTTCCGGCCCAGGCGAGGCACCTGCCTGGGATGTTCATGTCCCTGCCCATTCATCCGAACCTCCTGCCACAGGTACATGCCCGGCGACACCGCGGGCGCCCTCACGCCGTTTGGCGACCTCTTCAACTACCGGGCGCCGCCGCCGCCCTTCACGCCCCGGCTGTACCTGCCCCGCGCACGGGTGCCCACAAGACAAACTCCCCTTGGCGGCGGCGGCAGCGGCGGCGGCGGATGCGGCGGCGGCGACGTGGCGACCCCAGCAGAAGCGGCGGCGGCGGCGGGTTTCGCGGGCGACGGGGGGGGTGGGCCCGGCGGAGGTGGCGACGCTGGTGCGGCGGGTGAGGGCAGCGAGGTGCAGCAGCAGTTGCAGCAGCTCCAAGTTGATGGGAGCGAGGACCTAGCCAATGGCGGCAGGCCCCCCAGGAACGACCTCTTGCCTCGCGGCAGTGGTTGCCAGGAAATCGGCACCCAACGTGATGGCGCGTCGCTCGATGCAGCACGAGGGGCTGTTGGGGCAGGGCCGGGGGCAGGTGCTGGATTGAACGAGGCTTGCCATGAGGCCGAGCTGCCGGCTGCGCAGCAGCTGGAAGACGAGCGGCCCTCCAGCAGCGGGAGCTCCAGCAGCGGCAGCGATGGCGGCGCGGCCGCCTGCGACATCGACGACGACTGGACGCGCGGGCCCACCAGCGGGGACGGCGCGTTTGACGAGGCGGCTGGGGCCTATAAGCTGCATGCGCGCGCGCGGTGAGGCGTCCCCTGTTGGCGGCGAGGGGAAAAGTCTGGGAGACACTTTCAGCCAGCCCTGATGGCACAATATAATTGACGGGTCAGTGGGTTGCTCGTGTAGACGCCAGCAAGCTCATGTTCTTCACAAACAAAGCTGTTTGCCTGGGCACTCAGCGCTTGACCGTGCACTGATTAGTGGACTTCGCCTCCCCCTGTTCACCGCCCCTCTATGAAACAGGTATGACCCCGAGGATCAGGTTTTTTTGTGCTATGGCCGCCACACCAACCTCGAGGTGCGGAACAACGCGCGGTTCTTGTCCCTGAAAAAGGAAGCTGCTGCGCAAGGCTGCCGCTGCTTGGTACCTCAACCCCAGCAGCTGTCATTGAGACGCCATCTCAGCATATGCCCCCAGAGCACGGTCGGAGCTCGCAGCATGCTGATCCTCGGCCAATATTGCCACCTCTCTCAAACATAAGCGTGTGTTCACACGCTCGTCGCACTTTTGCATTCACAAACAATGTCCGTGCCACCGCCTCGCAACGCTCCCTGCTTGCGCAGCTGCTAGAGCTTTACGGCTTCTGCCTCCCACCAGGCAATGGCCCCGGCGACAACCCCCACGACACGGCCCCCCTGCCGCCCGAGCTCTTTGCACCAGCCTGCCGCCGTGACCCGCCCCGCGCGGCGGACTGCTGGCTGCACTGGGACGGCCGGCCGGGGTGGCAGCTGCTGCGGGCGCTGCGGGCAAACGCGGCAACGCCCGGCGAGTGGAAGGCGCGCGGGCACCTCGCCCTGGAGGGGCGGGCGATATCAAGGGAGGGGGATGCCAAGTGTGCGGCGTGGGTGAGGGCCGCGTGCACCCACCAGCTGTCGGCACTGCCTACGACGGCCCAGGAGGATGAGGCGGAGTTGGTCCGGCTCAGGGCTGCTGGGGCCGGGACGGAGGGGGCTGGTTGCGCGGGGACGGCGCCGAGCGAATGCCTTCAGCTGGCGGTGGCATGGCGCTTGGGGTACAAGCGGCTCCTGGAGCGTGGGGCCCGGCTAGGGCTGTAGGCATGGAGCATCGGGCTGCTGCTGCTGCTGCTGCTGTTGCTGCTGCGGGTGTTGCGTGTGTGCGTGCGCGTGTGTGTGTGTGTGTGTGTGTGTGTGTGTGTGTGTGTGCGTGTGTGTGTGTGTGTGTGTGTGTGTGTTTTTGCGTGCGCGCGCGCGCGTGTGTGAGCATGTGTCTATATTGCCACCGCACTTGACTGGAGCGAAGAACAGTGATCGACGGCCTTTTGGACTGTAGGCGCATGGCGCCGCTGTTGCGCAACCACGCTGCTGGAAAAGCAGTCCAGTGAGTGAGGGTCCTCACGTGCCCCGCCATTAATTTCGTCAGCGGCTGGATATCAGCAGCAGGAGAGCTTGGCAATTACAAGAGATCTCATGCAAGTTGGTGACAAGGATGTTCATTGCAGTGTGCGGGTGTCGAGCGTGGTGATTGCAGGTCACGTGTCATCTGCCTGTTTGACAGAGTTGGGCCTATGAGAAAGGGGCGGTCCTGTAATGCTCAAAAGTGAAGCCGTTGCCTGTACCTCGCGCTAGACCTACACACACCCCGGACGCAGGCGTCCGACTCTCCACGGCTCCCAGCCAGCGCCGGGCCCCTCTCAGCCGCCAAGGCACCTGTGGCCTGTCAGGAGGGTGCGAGTGTGCTGAGTGAGCAGCACCGGGTGGCGGTACAGTCTCCTGGATGTGTCAACCCCCTCGCCACCTCCCGGAACAAAATAGCATTGCAGCCTAGGCTGCCGTACGGTAGCACAGCAGCCAGCGCAAGGCTCTGCAGCTATTTTGTCTGCGTCCTTGCGGACACCACGCCAGGCCCCCCACTCCCGCACCTTGCTCTATCTATCGATGTGTCAGCAGCTGCTCTCCTGCGGCTCCTCCGCCCTCCTGAGGCCCGCCGCCCTTATCCTCTCGCCCATTTCCCGGCAGACGCGTGCCTTGTCCGCGCGCGCCTGCGCCTGCAGCACGCGGTGTGAGAAGGTGCGGGCAAAACCATGCTTTCAGGGACGCGCTTGCAGCCTCGCAGCTTTGAACACAAGTTTGCTTGCTGCTTTGTGAGAACAGTGGGGCAACTGAATAGGCACTGCCTCCGCTCCCGCCTCCGGCCCCGACGTCCACAGCCCGGTGTTGCCCTCACCTGCAGCCTCATTCTGAGCGCCTTCATCTCCGCGCCATGGCGCAGCCGCACCTCGCGCCGAGCCTGCGCTTGCGCCTGAGCCTGCAGCTGCACCTGCTCGAACGCGGCCGCGGCAGCCTCAACGCCCTGGTGTTGCCCCGCAAACTCCTTGCCCGGCTGGTATCCCATCTGGCAGGGCGTGGCCGGCGCCCGCGCGTCGTCCGCCTGCTGCTCCAGCGCCTTGATGCGCCCCTTCAGATCCTGGATCTCCGAGAACCTGGACGCCATCTGCGACGCGTGCGCCGCCGCGACGTCGGCGGTGTGCCGGTCGGCCGCCTCGCGCTGCGCCATCATGACGGTCAGCTGCTGCCTGTGCACGCGGATCATGCTGCCGAGGAGGCCGTCCTGGGGGCCGCGGGGCGCGTGGCAGGCGGCCAGGGCAGCAGAACGCAGGTTGTGAGCGCCGTCGTTGCGATGGGCTGGGTAGTCAGAGCAACCATGAAACCAAGACAAACGAGACTCATATGTGCCTGCCCTCACTCTAAAAGGTGCTGCCTACACCTCTTCGCCCACGCCCTTGATGCCCCAAACAACTAAGCTGTGCACAGCTCACCAGCCGCATGACCTCTGTCTGGAGGTTCCAGATGATCTCGTGCTCAGGGATGGGCGCTTGAACCCTAGGGGACGCCGGCGGCTGCCATGCCGGCAGCTGCGCGTGATGCATCGGAGACTGCGCGTGCTGCACCGGAGACTGGGGCATAATGGGCTGCACCGGCTGAGCCAGGGGGCTGTTGTATGCGGGAGGCGGGCTGTACGCCGCAAACCCTGCCTGCTGGTGGGCCGGGAACTGCGGCGCCTGCTGGTGGGCCATTTGCTGCGGCTGCTGCTGGTGCTGGTGGTGCAGGTGGTGCTGCTGCTGCATGTGCTGCATGTGCTGCATGTGCTGCCGGTGCTGCTGTGGCGGCATCTGCTGCGGCGGCCGCTCCATCGCATACACCTCCCGTATACCGCCAGTGTGGGTGATCAGGTAGCCCGCGGGGCGCACCGCGCTCAAGGGAGCGGGCTGCGCGTCCGCCGGGGGCTGAGGCGCCTGAGGCTGTGGCGGGCTCGTGGGTGCAAAGGCAGCGGCACCGGCTGCGCCGCCCTCGCTGAAGCCGGGCGCAGGCGCGTTGAGGTTGCCGGCGAGTCCCAGCAGTGGCTTGACGCAGTAGTCGCTGAAGAAGGTCATTTCTGATGCAGTCTGTGCAAGGACCACAGAAGCGGCGGTGTGCGCCATGCTGCGTGAGTGCATCAGCAGTGTGCACGGCAGGTGCAGCATGCAGCTACACAGGACCTGCAGCCGTTCAAGCGTACGAGAAAGTGTTGCGGGCCTCACCTTTTGCCTATGGGCGTGAGCACCGGCCTCAGCACTGCGATAACCGACGAACTTTTTCCGCAGGTGGTCCAACGGAGCTCGGCTGGATGGGGCCGCTATGAATGTTGTACCATAAACTATTTTGTGAGATATACGAACGATTTCGACGCTACATCATACCATGCCGCATGCATCTAGTGCTGGTCAAAGTGCTGCTTTGACCCCTGCAAAGACGTATCTCATAATAGTCATAATAGTCCCCTTGCATGGTGTGCGTGCAGAAGAGACCTTTGCAAATAAAACCGAGCTTTAGTCGTGTGGTGCGACCTTACATGTCTATCGAGTCCATTGCAGATGCCGCGGCGCTCCTGCTTGTCACAAGGACCCCCCTGCTGCGGGCTGCGGCAAAAGACAGAAAGCGCACCAACACGCCGCCGCTGCCGCCGCTGCCGCCGCTGCTGCCACCGGCAGTTTCGTCCCTGCCGCCTTCCCCGCTGCCGTCGTTCCTGCTGTTGCTGCTGCCGCCGGTCTCTCTTTCCCGCAGCTGGCTGCCGATCGGGCTGTCCAAGCCTGCAAGGCTGAGCTCATACAGGTGCACGCGCCCTCCCTCCAGCAGCTCAACCGCAGCCACCACAGCCCCAGACGCCGCCGGACCCAGCAGCACGCCCCGCACCCCGGCAAACGCCTCGGACGCCACGAACTCGCGGCGCGAGGCCGGGATCGTCGCCATCACCGACGCGCCCGAGGCGGCGGCGCGCGCGACGGACGCCGCGGCCTCGGGTGTCGAGACACTGTCGACCATCACCACCCGGCACCCATGGCGCTCTGATGCTGCCGCCACTGCCTCCGCCTGTTCCTGCGCGCTGCCTGCCACGAGGTATCGCGCGCCCCCGGCGCCCTGCGGCGCGGGCGGCGGCCAGCCGCACCCGCCGCGCGTGTCGCCGGCGTTGGTGCACGGCGCAGCGACGGTCGAGTCCACCAACAGGGTAGACACACCCATGACGTCAGAGAGCGTGCGCGCAGCATCCCGCAGCAGAGCTGTTTTCCCAGACCCAGGCGGCCCAAACACGAGCACCACCGGCCCCGGCGCCCCCACCGCGGCTCGCGCCAGAGCGCGCGCGGCGCCGTCGTCGCCCGCGGCGTCGAGAGCGCAGAGCGCGGCGGCGCGGGCGGGGGATGCGGCCGGCGCGGCGGGCGAGGGTTCAAAGTGCGGGCCGCCGCCGCCTGCCAGGGCTGCGAGGACGTCGGCGATGAGTAAGGCCGACCCCTGTAACCGCCCAACTGTGATTGTCAGCCCTGTCACGCCCTTCGTCTCCTCAGTCGCCGCGCTGTCGCCAATACCGTCGCCGCCGCCGCTACCGCCGCCGTCGTCTTTCAGGGCGACTGTCAGCGCGCTGACCCTGTGCAGGCTGCCCGGCGCCAGCGGCACCTCGTCGCTGCCAAAGCGCCACAAGGGCGGCTGCTCTTTCGAACCGCCGCCGCGCGGGCGAGCAGGCAGCCCGTGGCTGCGCTCCACTGCGGCGATGACCTCCCACAGGTCTTCTGCAGAAACCAGCAGCAATGGCAGCGCACACGCGCGGCCGGAAGCCAGGGCCACCCGCGCCGGGCGGCCCCAGTCCAGCAGGATGGTGCGTATTGGGTCCTCAGCGGCCATTGCGTTGCCTCCAATACCATTGCTGCTGCTGCTGCTGCTGCTGCTGCTGCTACTAGTGCTACTACTGTTGCTGCTGCTGCTGCTACTAGTGCTACTACTGCTGCTACTGCTGCGGCCGCTGCCGCTGAAGTCACCGAGGTGGCCCTCCTCCACTGCGCCTGCAGCCGCTGCCACTGCATCCGTGAGCCGCGCAGCCAGGCCAGGAGGCAGCACGCCCAGCAAACCCTCCGCTGCAGCGCCCCAGCCACGCCGCAGCTCAGCCGGGGACGGTGGGGACAGGCGGCGCGCCCCGCCCGCCGCCGCTCCTGCAGCTGCCGCCGCCTGTACCCCACCTACGTGACTCATTACGCTGTGCTCGTCTTCTAGCTCGTCGCGCTGCTGCTGTTGCTGCTGCTGCTGCCCCACTGCCCCCTCACGCTCAGCCGCCGCTGTCCCCGCTCTGCTGCTGCTGCCGCCATCCAGCAGCTCGTACCGCGGCCGCCACCCCGGGCCATAAGTCATCCGCCACACCGTCTGCCATGGGCTGCCGTGAAACAACCGCGCCCAGTCCACATC